GGTGCTCTCCAAGGAATGCAAGGACACAGGACGAAAAGATCCCCAAAGCCCAACCCATCACGGGCAAAGACAATCCTCGAAGCAAGCCATGGGTGGCAGGCTGTCTGACTGCCCTAAAACAGGGGTCCTCAAACTTTTCCACCAGGGGGCCGGTTGAAAGCTGCGGGTGCCGGGCAAAGGCTGGAAAGGTGGAGCCAGCGGTGCGCGCAGGCCAGGCGGGGGTGGCACGTGCGGGCACGCATTTGGCAGGGACGGGGCACACGGCGAGGCAAGCTGAGCCGAGCTGCGGGCAGGGTCAGGCACGCGCTGCCAGGTGGGCGCACAAGACAGCGGCTTGCTCGCTTGGAGATCATTTTCTTCAAGTGAGCAAACCGCTGCCTCCCCATGCACGGGGCGAGGTGGGCGGCAGGGGGGGCGCATGCATGGGCACAGGTGGTCCAAATGGGCATGGTGGGCCAGATCCGGCCCCCGGGCCATAGTTTGAGGACGCTGCCCTAAAACAAGCCTCTCCACTGGAGAGCCAGTGTGGTGCAGTGGTTAAGAGCATGGGACTGGGACTCAGACAATCTGGGTTCTAGTCCCCGCTCAGCCATGGAGCCAACTGGGGGACTTTGGGCCAGTCACAGACTCTCAGCCCAACCTACCTCACAGGATTGTTGTTGTGGGGATAAGATGGAGGAGGAGAATGATGTAAGCTGCCTTGAGCCCTTTGTAGGGAAAAGGCAGGATATAAATCGAATGAATGAATGAATGAATGAATGAGTAAATCAGTCTAACTTCACCCAAGAAAAACCACCATGGCCTGTCACCAGGGATTGAGTGTTTTGTTATGCAGACCCAGACAATGTCAATATTGACAGATGCCTTTGTTTTCCACAGGTTCATGGACTTTGACTGGCCCTCGCAAAATGGACAGTTCTGTAGGAGGCTCACTCTCTGTGATCTGCAATTATACCAAAGGCTATGAGAAGAACGCAAAGTTTTGGTGCAAAGTGGAGCCAGGCTTTTTTCTTGATAGCTGTCCAGTACTAATTGAATCAGGATCCAAGGATGAGACAAGGCAGGGCAATATCTATATCAAAGATAACAAGGAAAAGCACTACTTTGAGGTGACCATGGACAATCTGAGAATGGAAGATTCTGGGATTTATAAATGTGGCATACATCGTACGGTGTTTATTGATATAAAACATAGAGTTACAGTGAATGTTATGTTTACAGGTAAGCACTTGACCTACACCCTTAATGCAGTAGCAGAAATGTTGGGATTGAAATGGGTACTGGGGCAAATCGACAAAAGGGTATACCGGGAGGAGAAGGCCCGTTGCAGAAAGATTCTTCGCAAGGCTAAGGCTGATTATGAGCTGAGACTTGCCAAGAATATCAAGAGCAACAAAAAGGGCTTCTATCAGCATGTAAATCGGTAGAGGAAGGGGAGACAAGTAGTGGGACCACTAAATAAGGAGGAAGGAGATCCAGTGACTGATACAAGAGAACTGGCACAGATGCTAAATGACTATTTTGCCTCTGTGTTCCCCCCNCCCCCCAAAGCAGGACGGGGGATATCCGCATAGGAGATTAATGAGGCTGGGGACTTAGGGGCACAGATTAGAGTCACCCCCCTAGAAGTCCAGGGGCTCCTCAGGGCATTGGACGTTACAAAGGTGCCAGGCCCTGACAGGTTACACCTGAGAGTACTTCGAGAGTTGGCAGGGGTTCTCACACGCCCGCTGGCCTCCATTTTTGAGGACTCGTGGAGAACGGGTGAAGTTCCAGAGGACTGGAGGGTGGTGTCAGTGGTCCCAATTTTCAAAAAGGTTAGTAGAAGGGACATGGGGAATTACAGACCAGTTAGCCTTATGTCCATTGTAGGAAAAACAATGGAAAGCCTTATAATCGTGAGAGATCTAGTGATGCTAGATAGGGAAGAGAGGCTGGCAGCCACACGACACGGCTTCCGCAAAAACAGGTCCTGCCAGGCACACCTTGTGGAATTCTATGACAAAGTTTCAAGATGGCTAGATGGAGGGGATGCAGTGGATGTGGTTTACCTGGATTTCAGCAAGGCCTTTGACAAAGTGCCCCATGATATCCTGGTGGAGAAACTGAGGAGTTTTGGGATAGACTGATGCACTGTCCGATGGATGAGGCCATGGTTGACTGAATGAAAGCAGAGGGTAACCATTAGTGGGGAATCATCGGGATGGCGGCCAGTGACAAGCAGGGTCCCCCAGGGCTCTGTCCTGGGGCTGATCCTGTTTAATCTTTTCATCAACGACATGGAAGAAGGGGTGAACAGTCTGCTCATCAAATTCAGACGATACTAAAATTGGCACAGTGGCCACAACTGAGGAGCAGGTACTCCAGATCCAAAAGGATCTGGACTATGGAACTGGGCAGGAGACAACAGGATGGCATTCAATACAGGTAAGTGCAAGGTCTTGCACTTGGAGCATAGAAATGGGAGTCTTAAGTACAGGTTAGGGGACCTCGGGGTGCTGGTTGACTGCAGGCTAAACATGAGTCAGCAGTGTGATGCAGTGGTTAAGAGGGCAAATGCCACCCTTGGTTGCATAGCCAGAAGTTTGGCTTCTAGATTGAGAGAGGTATTACTACCACTCTATACGACTCCGGTGCACCCGCAACTGGAGTATTGTGTTCAGTTTTGGGCTCCTCATTACAGAAAGGATATAGCCAGGTTACAGTCAGTGCAGCGTAGGGCCACGAGGTTGGTGGCCAGTTTGCAGGGGATGCTGTATGAGGCAAGACGGAGGGAACTGTGCCTCTTCAGCCTGGAGGAGACTCAGAGGAGATCTGTTGGTGACATGCAGGTATGTGAGGGAATGTCACACGGAGGTGGGTAGAGACCTGTCCTCCTCTGCAGAGGAAGGCAGGACGTGCTCCAATGGAGCAAAGTACAGGGAACCAAGGTTCCACTTAGATGCCAGGAAGCACTTCCTGACCATTAGGACCCCGAGGGTATGGAATGGGCTTCCATGGGAGGTGGTTGAGGCCCCATCAGTGAGGGTGTTCAAGGATAGGCTGGAGATGCACATGGTAGGCATGTCATGAGCGGAGCCGGCAGGAGCTGGAGGTCAGACTAGATGGGCCGGGAGACCCGTTCTGACTCGCGCGGTTTCTGTTTCTATAGTCACAAGTATATGCAAAACTCTGTGGAATCAGAAATACCAACATTCTAGAGGAACTTCCATCATGATGTTTGTCTTTGTTTCCACCTTAGTTCCAGAAGAAAGGCTGCCAAATACTAAGCCAGAGGAAAGGCTGCCAACTACTAAGCCGGAGGAAAGGCTGCCAACTACTAAGCCAGAGGAAAGGCTGCCAACTACTAAGCAGGAAGAAAGAGTGTCAGCTACGAAACACCCAGAATCTGACCCTCCTATCAAGGGAACAGTTAAATCCAATCCCGGCCCTGCTCACACAGGGTGAGTACTGGGATTCCCTCTCCCTCTGGAGTTGCTGGGGCTCCTACCTAGGCAGGGTGAGTGACCATGAATGCTTCCCGCACTGCTTTTCTCTTCCTCCCTACCCAATATGAGCAATGTCCATGCAACAAGCATTTCCTATGTGTAATCGGGTAAATTAAATGGAGACGAGATGCCTTTGAAAATCCTTCTGATCCCTGGTGGGGACATGGTTGCGATTGTGGGTGGCTGTGGTACCAGGCAGCCTCAAGAATGCTGAGGTTGGAAGAATCACGATGAGTCCTGGGTCCTTGTGCCTTTCTCCCGTGCTGTGTTACTCATCCAGGAAGAAACAGGTCTGGCCACGGGGCTTGCTTTCCTGCACTTGCAGCATCAACATGACTTCCACTTACATCCCAGGTAACATGGCTTGGAGGCCCGAAAGAGCCAGACTATCGAAGGTGGAATGGCGATGCATCATGTGAATGATGGGATTGCTCCTAGAGTCCCTTCGGAATCTGGTCCTTCATGCTGAGGCCATTGCATCCTTAGCATTTAGCATGGAAGCATTCAGTTCAGAGCTGGTTAGTTGCTGGCAAACAGGAGATATGTGGCAGAACTTCTGCTGCTCATCGGAGCCCATGCAAGGAGAACATGCCGTGGCAGCTAGTGAGGCAAAACAGCTGGTGACCGCAATGGAGCAACAGGGGCTGTTGCCGTGTGCCATCAGGCTGTCTCTGACTTACAGCAACCCTATGGATTCATGCCCTCCAAAACATCCTGTCCTTGACAGCCCTGCTCAGCCCTTGTAAACGCAAGGCTTCCTTTATGGAGTCTATCCATCAGGATTTGGCCTTCTCCTTCTTCTGCCTTTGGGTGCCCCTTCTTCATCCAGTAGCCACTGTG